TCTCGAATTCCTCAAAACCAGGAGGCAATATATGAGCAGCTGGAACAGTTAAGAGAAGATGAGCCCAGCAGGAAGGAGTCCAGGTCTGACCCAAGGCATGCCAGGACAAGAGCCACCGGAATTGAGCAGTGATCCAGCAGGTTGTATTGTCTGTGGAGACAGCAAACACAAGAAGAAACTGTATTTCTGCAAGAAATGTAGGACCCTGAAACCTTCAGAGAAGAGAATGTGATGAGGAGGCTCAGAGCATGCAAAAGATGTCTGGAAATCCATGAAGGAGCTGCATATTGCAAATCCACTTACTTGTGCAGGAATCTGGAGTGCAAAGACCAGCAGACCCCCGAGCATCATTATTACCTGTGTCCATATGCTGAAACCAGAAGGACACCCCAAAAGAAACTGGTTCGGTGGGAGGTGGAAAGTGCACAGAGTCTCAGGAGGAATTCCTCTCCAAGCTGTCACCTGAGTTGGCTCAGCAGTGTCGAGATGCATTCTGCAATTCAGCATTCAGGACCCTCAACTCTGGGGCACGCGAGCAGGGGCTACTGACAGAAAGTGGTTTGCAAGAATTTCCAGTTATCATGATGCTTCAATGGGTAACGGCTAATGCTGGACAAAAGGTTGGAACCTTGATTGATCTGGCCTCAGATACAAACTACATAACTCATAGAGTAGCAAATAAATTGAACCTTCGAAGTGAAGACGTTACTCTGGTGGTCCATGGAGTCGGTGGTATGAAGGTATCAGTTAAAACCAAGAGGTACCTGCTGAAGATCAGAGTTAGTACTCCCCGAGGCACTCTTAAGTCACACCAGTTAGTGTGTTATGGACTTGACAGTATTGCAGAGATCCATCGACATGTGACGGCCAAGAAGCTGCAAAGAATATTCCCTGATGTTCCACTGCATGAGCTGGTAAGACCCAGAGAAATCCAACTCCTGATAAGTCATAGGGAAGGACAGCTGGTGCCCCAGAAGATTCGTGCAGTTGGAGACCTTGTCCTCTGGGACGGCCCACTGGGGAAAACTATCGGAGGTAGTCACCCTGACCTTTTTGAAGAGCTTGCTGTAACTGCACATATGTCAAAAACTCATTTTGCACGCTCAATGAGGACTGCAGCAGTTAAGTACGAAGAATTCACCTGTAAAAGTCCAGCTGATCATCAGTCTCCCATGTGTTCTGTTGCTCATTCTAGCACTGCAGCCCTCAAGCGAGATATCCTGGAATGGTGGAAGTGGGACGGCATTGGGGCCGCTTGCGAGCCCAAGTGCGGTGGTTGTCGCTGCGGGAATTGCCAGCCAGGGGGCAAAGAGATGACACTTGCTGAGGAAAGAGAGGCAGAAATGGTTACAAATGGCTTGACGTATGTGAATGGAGATGAGCACTGTGAGGAACCACACTGGCATGTTAGATATCCATGGAGAGAGGATCCGGTTTCCTTGCCAAACAACAGAGGGGCTGTTGAAGCGACATTCCTCAGGACAGAAAAACAGCTGGCAAAGGAACCAGAATGGAAAGTTGCCTACGCAGCGCAAGTGCATGACATGGTCCATCGCAAAGCTGCAGTAAAGTTGTCAAATGAGGTGTTAAAGAGCTGGACCGGGCCAGTTTGGTACATCAGTCACCTAATCGCTCCAAATCCTCACTCAGTCACAACCCCAGTAAGGCTTGTCTGGAATAGCAGCCAAAAGTTTAGAGGTTTGAGCTTGAATGATCTGCTGTTCAAAGGTCCTGACGTGCTCAACCCCATTCGTGCTGTTCTGTTGAGGTTCCGTGCTGGAGTCTTTGCTGCCTTGGGCGATATACGGAAAATGTATAACTCTGTCTGGCTGGAAGAACGAGAAGTCCATCTGCACCGATTCCTCTGGCGTGATTCTGCAGGAGATGAGATTGAAGAATATGCTACAACAAGGGTAAATATTGGAGACAAACCGGCAGGCTGCATTGCTCAACTGGCTATGCGGGAGACCGCAAACTTAGCCATATTCAGTCACTTCAAGGAAGAGCGACGTGTGCTGCAAGAAGATGTTTATGTCGATGACATCCTGACTTCCCACAACAGCATGGATCAACTGAAACTCATCACGTCTAATGTCGAGCAGATCTTAAAAACTGGTGGATTCCACATCAAGCCCTGGCTATACTCCGATCAAAGTGGGAGGAAAGAGTCCAGAGACAAAGAGACTGAGCCACAGACTGTGTTCTTACCAAATCAGCTGACAGAAGAGGACAATAAAGCCCTTGGCCTGGGATACACAGTAAAAGATGACAAGCTTCATGTCGTGATTGCTGTAAACTTCTCAAAGAAGAAGAAAAAGATGAGACTTGGCCAAAATTTGTTGAAGGAGGAGGTAAGATCACAAACGCCAAATCCACTCACCAGAAGAGAACTTCTAAGTCAAGTCTCAGGGCTCTATGATCCACTAGGCTTGGTGACCCCTGCTAAGCAAAAAGGTGCAATTCTGGTGCGAAGAGCATTTCAAGAGGCAAAAGTTAACTATGGCCTAAGCGAGAATACCTGGGATGCAGCTTTGTCAGAAGGGCTCCGGGAGGATGCAATCAAGCTTCTGGAAGAGTATTCTGAGCTTGGGCAAGTACAATTTGTCAGATCCCTGACACCCCCAGATGCCGCCGCTGAACCCTTTGGCATCACCTTCTCCGATGGCAGTGAACAAGCATATGGAGCAGTATTGTATTTGCGTTGGAGCTGCAGTCAAGACATTACTGTGAGGCTCGTCGAATCCAAGGCCAAACTAACCCCCCTTGACCACAAGGGCGACGCCGTAAAAGCGGAGGTGTGCGGAGCTGTATTTGCTGCCCGGTTAAAGAAATATTTCCAAAGGCATTGCAGGATTCAAGTTGAGAAGTGGTACCATCTTGTTGATAGCCAGACCATCTTGGGAGCAATACAGCGTGAAAGTTATGGTTACCAAACCTTTTTTGCGAATCGAATTGGAGAGATTCAAAGCAGCACTAACGTGCAGGATTGGTGGTGGGTTCCAGGGCCAATGAATATTGCAGACATTATCACGAGAGGGGCTGGCCCAAAAGATTTGGATAATGATTCTGAGTGGCAGTCAGGTCCGAAGTTCATCAGTCAACCAGTAAATGAGTGGCCAATTAGATCGGCTAAAGATGTTGCTGCGGCAGCCAGAGAAAACCTCACCAAGATCCAAAAGAAAGCGTTTGTTGCTGCGCTTACCAGAGCTCAGCTGAAGAAACAAGAGCCAGTGGAAAACCAGAGTTCAACCCGGATGGAGCCAAGTAGACCACCTGGTGGAATAACAGTTCAAAAGTTAATTGATGTGAAGAGATTCAGCAATCTAACACGGCCGATCAAGACAGTGGCATTGGTCTGGAGAGCTGCAAAGAAGTTCCTTCGAGTCAAGACAATGGACAAACTAAAGTGGGAGGCGGTATCTTCAGTTGGTATCATCACTCTCCAAGAGAGAAGAGATGCATTTGGGGACCTCTGCCTAGCAGTTCAAGAAGGTGTGACCTTCTCAAACACCACAATGGATCGACGGGTTGTGTACAGAGACATGGCAACTGGACTTCTGGTGTGTGGTGGCAGAGTTCAAGCCTTCCAGGAGGATCTCAAAGCTGTTCCCCTCGTACCCTTTGATGCCTGGATTTCAACCTTGTTGGCTCGTGAAGCTCATGATGAGGGGCATGATGGAGTGGCGGGCACCTTACTGAGGATGGGTAAAAGGGCATGGGTTTTGAGAGGAAGAAGGGTTGCTCAAAGAGTCGTTAACCGATGTGTCTCCTGCAAAGAGGCAAGAGTTAAAACATGTCAACAAGTAATGGGCAAGCTACCTGAAGAGAGAACGAGACCTTGTGCACCATTTGAGTTCACCGCCATCGATCTGTTTGGACCTTACCAAGTAAAGGACGATGTCAAGAGAAGAGCATCAATGAAAGTATGGGGAGTTGTCTTTTCCTGTATGGCAAGTAGAGCTATTCATACAGAGCTGGCTAATACGCTATCTACAGAGAGCTTCCTATTGGCATACCAGAGGTTTACTGCACTCAGAGGTCACCCCCGAAAGGTCTGGTCCGATCCAGGAACCAATTTCATTGGTGCAAAACCTGTACTGAAAGATCTGTGTGGCTTCCTGGAAAGTCAAGACAAAGGAACCCTGGAAGAGTATGCAGTTAAGAATGGAACACAGTTTGTCTGGACATTTCATCCAGCCGACTCACCACATCGGAACGGAGCTGCGGAAGCTGCAGTGCGTATTACAAAGAGAGCGCTCCAGAGTCTTGGAAAAGGGTCAGACCTCACTTTCAGTGAGTTTTTAACAGCACTTCAACTTGCAGCAAATCTTGCAAATGAACGTCCCATTGACGCAAGAGTTCAGAGCCGGGAGGGCTGCATACAATATGTTACGCCAAACACACTTTTGCTTGGTCGAGCCACACAGACAGGGGACTCCAAGACATTCGATTTTGCTAGCTATCCCTATAAGAG